ACACAGCTGCAAAGTGGCTACCTCTGGAGGAGACAGAGATTTTTCATTACATGTTCTTTGATTTGGTCTTAAACATGTGTATGTATTACCTCTTCCAGAACAAGAGACATATTTACAAAATAAACCAGTAACAATGAGCCCAGGCAACTGCAAAGTTTAGGTGTGTGTGCAGTAAGGTGTGCAAGACACATGAGAAAACCATAACACTAGGAAAGCCTGGGGAAAAGGAGTGAAAAAGCAAGAGATACTGTGGGTAAACATAACAGAACAAACCTACATCTAGAACCCTCACTAACACGATGACAGGACAGCCAAGGGGTAACAAAGGAACACCACAGGACAAATAAATCACATGGAAAGAGACTGCAAAGATGAGAGAAGGCACCAAAATGAAAAGCCAACAGAAACTGGACAAGTGGTAACTGAGCAAGTAGAGAAAACAGAAACCCTGTGTGGTGGGTTCTAGAAAATGCCCATAAATTCTTTGATATTCCTTCAAGAGGTAAAGGCTAATTCCCCTACCCTTGAGTGTGGACTGGACTTGGTGAGTCCCTTCTAATGAACAGAATGATGTGGAAATGAAAATGTGCGTCTTCAGAGACTGGGTCAAAGGTGGCTCTGCGGCCTCCTCTCTGCTCTCCCTTGGACGGCTCACTCTGGGGGAAGCAGCCGCCATGTTGTGAGGACACTCCCAGCAGCACTACGGAGAGGCCAGAGCAACAAGGAACTGATGTGCCATCAGCCATGTGAGTGAGGCATCTTGGAAACAGATTTTCTAACCTCAGTCAAGCCTTCAGATGACCGCAGCTGCTGCCAACATCCTGACTACAACCTCATGAGACCGTAAGCCAGAAACACCCAGCTAAAACACTCCTGGATGTCCAACCCTCAGAAACTGTGAGAGATAATAAATTTAAGCTGCTAAGTTTACAATGACTTTTTTACTCAACAATAAACAACTAATACACCCTTTATGGCAATAGGTTAAAAAGAAGCTGATAGGGGCGCCTGGGTGGCTCAGTCATTAAGCATCTGCCTTTGGCTCAGGTCATGATGGCAGGGTCCTGGGTCAAGCCCCGCATCAGGCTCCACACTCAGCAGGGAGCCTGCTTCTCCCTCTCCCTCTGCCCCTCCCCCCACTCATGCTCTCTCTCTCTCTCTCAAATAAATAAATAAAATCTTAAAAAAGAAGCAGCAGCAGCTGATAAAGAACAAATGGATTTCTTCCAGGGAACCCCAGAAAGGTTCAGAACAAACAGACCAACGGATAATAAAGGATAAGAATCCCACTTATAGGGGCGCCTGAGTGGCTCAGTCATTAAGCGTCTGCCTTTGGCTCAGGTCATGATCCCAGGGTCCTGGGATCGAGCACCACATCGGGTTCTCTGCTCAGTGGAGAGCCTGCTTCTCCCTCTCCCACTCCCCCTGCTTGTGCTCTCTCTCTCTCGCTGTCTCTCTCTGTCAAATAAATAAATAAAATCTTAAAAAAAAAAAAAAAGAATCCCACTTATAGGAATTTGACATATAACAGGTGGCAACAGAAATGAGTGGGTAAGGTATTAACTATTCACTAATGGTATTGGGACAACTACTGTCCATCTGGGGAAAAAGAAGTTTGGTACCCTACCTCACACCATTCACAAAATTAATTTCAGATGAGGTATATACTAAGTTGTTGTATATACAACAAATGTCCACACAATATCTTACACATGAATGTTCATAGAAGTATTATTCACAATAGCCAAGAAGTGGAACCAAACCCAATACTCATCAACTGACGAATGGATAAATAAAATGGGTAAGTAATGTATATCCATACAATAGGATAGGACTCAGCCACAGAAAGGAATGAAGTACTGAAACCTGCTACAACATGGATGAACCTTGAAAACGTGATGCTAAAAAAAGGAAGTTAATCACAAAATATCATGTATTATACGATCCCATTTATATGAAATGTCCAGAATAAGCAGATCCATAAAGACAAAAAGTTTAGTGCTTTAGGGATTGGTGGGTAGGGGGACAGGAGTGACCGGTAATGGGTATGGAGTTGATTTTCGAGATGTGAAAATGTTCTAAAACTGATTGTGGTGATGGATGCACAGTTCTATGAATATACTAAAAACCCCTGAGCTATGCAGGGTTTTGTTTTTTTTAAAGATTTTATTTATTTATTTGGCAGAGAGAGACACAGTGAGAGCAGGAACACAAGCAGGGGGAGTGGGAGAGGGAGAAGCAGGCTTCCCACTGAGCAAGGAGCCTGATGTGGGGCTCGATCCCAGGACCCTGAGATCATGACCTGAGCTGAAGGCAGATGCTTAACGACTGAGCCACCCAGGTGCCCCTGCAGGGTTTTTTTTTTTAAAGATTTTATTTTTTTAAGTAATCTCTACACCCAACGTGGAGCTCAAATTCACAACCCCAAGATCAAAAGGCACTCACCGACTGAGCCAGTCAAGTGCCCTGAGATATGCACTTTAAATGGGGGAACTGTATGGTATGTGAATTACACCTCAAAACCACTATAAAAAAGTAATAGAAGATTGGGGCACCTGGCTGGCTCAGTCAGTTAAGCAGCCGACTCTTGATTTTGGCTCAAGTTATGATCTCAGGGTTATGAGACTGAGCCCCATGTTGGGCTCCATGCTGGGCGTGGAGCCTGCCGAAGATTCTCTCTCTCCCTCTGCCCCTCCCCCTGCCTCTCTCTCTCTAAAAATAAATAAATAATAATAAATAATAATAATAGATAAATTCCAGATGGATTAAAGAAAAACTAAAAACAAATCAATAAAAGTATGAGAAGAACTTCTTTGAGCAGACACAAAATGCAAAAGCCATAAAGCAAAAAACTGATGAATTTGTCAAAATCAGAATTTTGAACTTCCATGCAAGTACAGATTTGCTGGAGGTGTCGGTGCAGAAATGAAGGCCTGACCTCTCTGGCTGGGGCACAGGCACCAGCCGACTGTGTTTCGGCCCAATGCCTGCCTTCAGACGAGTTACACGTGGATGAGCAGCACAGCCAAGCAGTTGAGCGGGCACAAGACAAACCAAGAATTGTGGGTTAAACCGAACATTTCATTTGGGAATGAAAAACTTCCGTAATTTCTGTAGACTTTGAGTCCCACATTTCTCCTGCAAAGTGTGGATCTTTGCCAAGATAACTTTTGTTAAAGTTACATTACTGAGCCATGAGCTGAGGTGATCAGGTGGAAATACTATTTAAAGGAGTACTATTCTCAGGCGCCTGGGTGGCTCAGCTGGTTAAGCGACTGCCTTTGGCTCAGGTCATGATCCTGGAGTCCCTGGATCGAGTCCCGCCTTGGGCTCCCTGCTCGGCAGGGAGTCTGCTTCGCCCTCTGACCCTCTCCCCTCTCATGTGCTCTCAATCTCTCATTCTCTCTCTCTCAAATAAATAAATAAAATCTTAAATAAATAAATAAATAAAATAAAGGCGTACTATTCCAGAAACTGGAAGACTGCAGCCAATTTTGAATCCCAACCCTTATTATATTTTCAAGGACTGAAACTGTCAAACTGCACATGAATTAGTTCTAACGTATTCCTGCTTGAACTGTGCTTTGCTACCATATACTGTCCCATATTTCCTTAAAATCTCAGGTACGGTTTTGGCAGGGAAGACCTTGTAATATTAACAAATTTAACAAAATCGTTATTAAGTAACTTAAAAAAAAAAACAAAAACCTTCCAAGTAATCAGTCACCATAAACTAAGTTAAAAGACAAGGAGCAAGGGCGCGTGGGTGGCTCAGATGGTTAAGCGTCTGCCTTCGGCTCAGGTCCTGATCGCAGGATCCTGGGATCCAGCCCCATGTCAGGCTCCCTGCTCAGCAGGAGGCCTACTTCTTCCTCTCCCTCTACTGCTCCCCCTGCTTGTACTCTCCCGCTCTGTCAAATAAATAAATAAAATCTTAAAAAAAAAAAAAAGACAAGGAGCTAATCAGGAGAAACATATATAGCATGAAAACAGGCAAAGGTTTCATATCTGGAGTATGTTAAAGAATTCCTACAAATCAATTTTTTTTAAAAGACAACCCAATGGGGGGGGGGCTGCCTGGGTGACTCAGATGGTTAAGCATCTGCCCTCGGCTCAGGTCCTGATCGCAGGATCCTGGGATCCAGCCCCATGTCAGGCTCCCTGCTCAGCAGGAGGCCTACTTCTTCCTCTCCCTCTACTGCTCCCCCTGCTTGTACTCTCCCGCTCTGTCAAATAAATAAATAAAATCTTTAAAAAAAAAAAAAAGACAACCCAATGGGAAAAAATATAAACAATTCACAGAAATGAAAATATGAACATTAATGCACATATAAAATAAAGATACTCAACCTCACTGGTAATCAGGAAAATAGAAATTAAAATAAGCTGCTGTTTTAGCAAAACTGTTAAAAGATCAGCAATACAGAGTACTATGGATGATACGATACACTCACATACTGTTGGTCAGGGTATAAATTAGTGACACTGTTTTGGATTACCTACTCTAAGTGTGTATAATCCACTGAGAGCCTATAATTCTACTTTCTGGTATTTACATCAAGAAGTAGTACCTGAACAAGAATATACGACTGTTCATGCTAGTATAAAACCAAAAATAACCAAAACGTCCCCTGATAAGGCAGGGGATGGACAAACTGGGGTCCGTTCCTACAGTGGAGTGCTTTGCAGCAGAACAAAAGAGCAAGGTATGTGAAAATGCAAAGATCTTCAAGAAATACTGTTGAATGAAAGCAGGATAGGAAGCAGGGAAGGAGTATTTATATAGTTATATAGGGTAGCTACAAAGGCCCACCCAGGTGTCATTTGTACAAGATAAGGGACGGACATAAGGGAGAAAAAGCTTTCCAGGCAGAGAGAACAGCAAGTGCAAAGGCCCTGTGCCTGAGCAACAGCTCTGTGAAGGCAGCAAAGACCCCAGTGACAATTCCTGGCCCCGGGGCAATTCTAGGGTTACTGACTAGATGTGACCTCCAACTCACCCCCTCACTGTGCTGCACCACACTGCCAATGTTATGCAGAGACTGGAAGTTTTGGGTGTTCACAGAACCAAACTCCACAATCTCGTCATCCACTTGCAGACCCTAAAGAGAGAAGAGAAAATAGAAAACCAGGGTAGAGGTTAAATGTGCTTCTGGTGTTTTTTACCCTTCCATGCCCAACTGAACGTCCAGGCCAAGAACTTGTTTTCTGCCGGGAAGAGAGGCAGGCACAAAGCAAAGAGGTCAGGGATTTAGCTACCTCACATGGAGGGCGGTGGCGGTGGGTAATTGGGCCACCTCCTCCTGGGGATTCCTTCTAGGACAGATCTAGTAAAAGGGGGCCAGATCTGCCCAATGTCTGATAAAAGCTGGTGGCGGTTATGCACAAACAATGAATCATGGAACACTACATCAAAAACTAATGATGTAATGTATGGTGATTAACACAACAATAAAAAATTATTTAAAAAAAAAAAAAAGCTGGTGGCGGTACAGGCCGTAAAGAAAGTGGGGGAAAAGCCAAATGCTGTCTTCTGAGGTGAGGGGCGAGAAGAGGCAGGCCAATCTGGGCCTATTTTGTTCAGGGGTCAGAATTTAGGCAGGTTTGCCCTAGATGTCCCCAGACAAACAGCCACAGGCACAAGGCTGACCAAGGACTAGTGTGATCCTTTCATTCTAAGAACACAGATCATGATTCATTCATTCCTTCAACAAATATTTGTCGTGGGCCAACTACAGCCCTGTGCTAGATGCTGTGCATAGAGTAGCGAGTCAAACGAAGCTCATGTATAACTTACCATTTGTGATCATTAGAGACTTCCGGCAGGACCTGGGTTCAGGACCCAGTTCCATAGCTGAGGAGCTATGTGTCCTGGCACCAGTTACTTCAGGTCTTAAGGCTTTGTTCATGGGTAAAATGGGGTTAAGATCAGTGCCTACCCCAGAAGGTGGCTGTGGGATTAAATATTAACTACATAGCCACATAAAAACTTGAACATGATGTTCAGAGTCACATTATTCATAATAGCCAAAAGACAGAAACCAAATGTTCATGAACTGATGAATGGATAAAATCGATGGGACATATCCACACAAAAGAATATTACCCAGCCATAAAAAAGGAAACAAATAGAGATACATGTTCTATCACAGATGAACCCTGAACACATGATACTAAGTGGGAAAAGCCAGTCATAAAGGGTCATATATGATTCCATTTATATGAAGTATCCAAAATAGGCAAATTCATAGACAGAAAGCAGACTGGTGGTTGCAAGGGGATGGGGGGGATGGGATTTGGGGGAATGGCTAATCGGTATAGGGTTTCTTTTCAGAATAATGAAAATGTTCTAAAACTGCTTGCAGTGATGGATGCACAGCTCTGTGAATACACTAAAAGCCACGGAATTGTATACTTCAAATGGGTAAATTTTATAGTGTGTGAACAGTTCCTCAATAAAGCTGTTTTAAACTTTTAAAAATATGCCAGGTAAGATCTAGAACTCGCTTGGCAGACAGCTGGTGCAAAGCAAGGACTCAGTAAATGGCAGCTACTGTTGTCCTTCTCATGTCTACTACTTAGTGCCCGGCTGAAATAAGCCCAAGAGATCCTCTTTTCCTCTCTTGGAATAATTATCACCTTCTACCTTGTGTCTCAGGCCCCCCCTGACCAGGTTAGTGAGCAGCAGGGGCTGACTCCTCTCCAAAACCCTGGCCCCAGCACAGGGCTGGGCCCCCAGGGCTCGGTCAGTGCTTGCGAAGTAAGTGGGTAGAGTCCAGCTGCAGCATGGAGAGACAATGGGTCTGTCTGCCCATGGTCCGTCCCATCAACCCCGAGGCTACGTGACCCACAGCACCCTCTGGGGATGGATTTTGGTGGTGGTTCTGGCTTACCGCGATACTGGCGGGGGAGCCAGGGCTGACGCCATTCACTTTGGCGAAGGCCTGAGGGGGGCTGAGGCCCTCCCTCTGGCCCTGGTTGTGGCTCATGGCCTCTCTGTGGGCCTCAGCCATGTCCCGGGCCTGCTTCTCCTTGTCGCGAGCATGCAGCTGGTGCAGGGCCTTTTCCACCTGCTTCATGATGGCCTGGTGATCATTCTGCAAGCCTGGGAGGAGAACACCACATCAGGGGACGAGGAGAACAGCTGAGGACACCAGACTCCCACATCCACTCACTGAATGGTTACCAAGCACTTATTCCCGGCCAGACATTGGACTACAGGCTGAGGACAAACCTGTGGCCAACAGAGGGCCACCATCATGACGCTCACAGTCCAGCAAGGAAAGCTGCTCAGGAACAAGTCATTACTGTAACGTCTGATGACTGTTGCTGAGGGCGAGCCAGCCAGGACCCAACCTTGTCAGTCTAGGAGATCAGGGAAGCCTTCCCAAAGGCAGCACTGTTTCAACAGAGACTTGAAAGGTGAGGAGAAGCAAGAAATCGCCCCACTGAATCCACAGCCTCAAATGCATACACGGGCCAAGTGTGGTGGCCATGCAAATGAGTGACGTGAGCTGGGTGTAAGGACTTCACTTTTCTCCTAATGCCCCCGGAAGGAAAAATGATGCCTAAGTCCACTAATACATGGCAGGTGATGTTCGGTCTGGGAGAAATAACAGCAGAAAAGCTAGAGATTAGAAATTTGGGGGTAAAATCCTCTTTTTCAGTACCGATGGCTAATTCAAAATGTGGAGAACTGGGGTGCCTCGCTGGCTCTGTTAGAAAAGCATGCAACTCTTGATCTCCGGGGTAGTGAGTTCAAGCCCCATGCTGAGTGTATTTACTTAAAAAAAAAAAAACAAAAAACTTCTGAGAATAGTTTTTCAAAAGAACATCAGTAAGAATTGCTCACAGATGCCTGGGTGGCTCGGTCAGTTAAGCGTCTGCCTTCGGTTCGGGTCATGATCCCAGGGTCCTGGGATCGAATCTCATGTCACTCTCCCTGCTCAGTGGGGATTCTGCTTCTCCCTCTCCTTCTGCCCCTCCCCCTGCTCATGCTCTCTCTCTTGTTCACACTCTCTCTCAAATAAATAGATAAAATCTTAAAAAAAAAAAAAAAGAATTGCTCAACCAAATTCTTAAATATAATAAAGTCATTAAGATAGTGTGGTATTGGGGCGCCTGGCTGGCTCAGTCAGAAGAGCATGCAACTCTTGATCTCAGGGTTGTGAGTTAAAGCTCTCTGCTGGGTGTACAGATTACTAAAAAAATAAATAAATAAACTTAAAAAAAAAAAAAAGACAGGGACGCCTGGGTGGCTCAGTCAGTTAAGCATCTGCCTTCGGCTCAGGTCATGATCCTGGGGTCCTGGGATCGAGCCCCGCATCGGGCTCCCTGCTCAATGGGGAGGCTGCTTCTCCCTCTCCCCCACTGCTCCTCTCCCGGCTTGTGTTCTCTCTCTCTCTCTAATAAATAAATAAAATCTTTAAAAAAATTTTTTTTAAAGTGAGATATTAGCAAAGAGATATATCAACAGAACAATGCAAAAAACTAAGATACCTAAATACATCTGAAAATTTCCTATGTCATACCGCAGGCATTTCAAATTAATGGAGAAAGAATAGGCTATTTAATAAATGGTGTTGGAACATCAGGGTAACCATCTGGAAAAAAATAAGTCAGTGCCCTCTCTCACATGGTAGGCTCTGCTTCTCCAATTTCCCTCAGTATCCTAAATGCCAAGGAAAGCAGGCCACACCCCTCGGGAGTCTAAGGGTTTTGCCAAAAGCCCCAAATTTCCCTCCAGTCTTAACATGGTTTTTCCCTACTCTGTATCTTCCACTTGTTTCAATACAAAAACGGTATGCTTCTTTTCCCAAAACCTACAAGGAAAAGTGATGTTTGAAGGTACTGTTCTATGATTACATGGCAGCTTTGAGGGATGCTTGGCAGCTCAAGAGGTATCCCCCGCCTATGGTTACTTGTGCCTCCAGTGAGAAGCTCAGCCTTATACCAAAACAGGCTGTGGATGGAATCAAGATTCAGACCCATAAACCAGAGGTCATTAAGTGAAAAATGTGCACGATAAATTCCCCTAATAGGACTTTGTGGGGAAAGGCTGCCGGTTGCCCACCTGTGGCAGGGGTGAATAACGGCCCCAAACATGTTCTTGTGCTAGTCCCCAGAACCTGCCCGTATGTTACTTCCCAAGGCAAAGGGGGCTTTACAGATGTGGTTAAGTTCAGGATACCATGTGGGGAGATCATCCTGGATTACCGAGATGGGGGGCCCAGCGTGATCACAAGGGTCTTAAGTGAAAGCGGGAGGCAGAGAGTGAAAGAGGTGGGATGGGGGACCAGAGGTTGGGAGGTGCAGATGATGGCTTTGGAGACAGGAGCGGCTCTGAGCCATGGGACATAGGCACCTCCAGAAGCTGGGAAAAGATAAAGAAACAGGCTCTTCCCTAGAGCCTCCAGAAGGAACGGAGCCCTGCCAACACTTTGATCTTAGCCCAGCGACACTGATTTGGGTATCTGATTATTTTAAGACAATAAATCTGGGACATTTGCAGTCACTAAGTCTGTGGGTATTTGTTACAGCAGAAACAGAAAACTAATATACTCCCCAACCGCTACTTTCAACTTGCTCCTCAACTATAAACAAATAAATGACTTTATTTAGGACAGTGACATGCCCACCACGGGGTACATTCCCCAACGTGTCTTGCAGGCAGAGGGGCCAAGGAGGGGAAAACAGAAATCAATGCAACAAGGCAGAGGTGGGACCTGTAGGACAGATCCTTAAAGGGAGGGTACTGGCTGGCAAAGGATCTGTTGCCCTTCCTACCTTCTTCCCTCCCTTCCTTCCTGCTTGGCACATGGACATGGTGACCCTAAAGATGGACGACATGTCCTAAGGATGGCAGAGCCTGGGATCTGACGGCCGGCCCCACACTGGTGACCTCCACATGGCTATACTGAGGGGCAGAACACTCCTGTGTGAGTGGCCGCAGTCAGGTCACTATCCTTACCAGGTGAACGTACTTCCTAACACATAACTGATCTGATTAGGATTGTAAGCAATTTGTGACCTGGGTTTCTAGCGTCATTTCGGAAAAGTTTCCACAGTGAAGTCCTTAAAAACAAAATGAACAATGAAACCACAAATTTCGAACCCTAGAGGCCACCCCATTTCCTCAGTTCTCAGCCCCTGGAAGAGGAGAGTGAGCTAATCCCATCAAGGTGGAAGAGAGGAAAGCAGAGAATACGGAATAGTGAGATTTCACTTATGTGCCTCAGCCTCCCTCGCTGCAAGCTGGGGGATCGGCTGCGCACGCGCACACCACTCACAGACGATGTTGTGCCTTGCAGTTCGAACTTGGTACAGGTCCACGTCTGACCGGGGGTAGCCCTCGCAGTCCACCAGCGGCTCGTTCATCCCCACACCTTTTTGCTGGAGGGAAGAAACATGCTTAAGACTTCACAGGTACGGGGCGCCTGGGTGGCTCAGTCGTTAAGCGTCTGCCTTCAGCTCAGGTCATGATCCCAGCGTCCTGGGATCGAGCCCCGCATCAGGCTCCCTGCTCCGCGGGAAGCCTGCTTCTCCCTCTCCCACTCCCCTGCTTGTGTTCCCTCTCTCGCTGTGTCTCTCTGTCAAATAAATAAATAAAATCTTTAAAAAAAAAAAAAAGATTTCACAGGTACGAAGTACTCAAGACCTTTTCCCCTTTGCAGCCATCATCAAGGCGACAGGAATGAAAGCTGCCACATACCAATCACACAGCACAGGCCACATACCTTCCCCAAACGCTCCCACAACCACCCTCAGAGGGGGGCACTATTTTTTTTTATTGACTTTTAATAACACAAGTAACAAATGAATCCGTTCTCCTCTTTTGAAGTTGGAACAGTGCAGAAACTAAAGACTCTTTTGAGCTTCGTCCCCAAGGCCAGCCTTCTGGACTCCTCCAAACCCTCCTTCCTACAGCAGCTGATACCTGGCTGGTGGCCTTGGAAGCTGGAGGGGAGTGAAAACCCCAAAGAGCATCCAGCTGTGGCAGGACTTTGGTTCTTTCGGAAAGTAAAAAGGGACCAAAGGGATTTCAAAGAGGTTTTCATCCCTTGAAGGACTCACTGATATCAATTGCCTCTGGGGAAAGGAACTGGGTGGCCTAGGGGACAGGGAAGGAAGAGGGACTTTTCATTTTCTATCCTTTTGTAGACTTTTTGAATTTTGACCATGGACGCATATTCCCTATTCAAAACAATACATTTAACATTTTAAAGTCTTTTCCTATGTAAGTCAGAGCAGGGTGCACAAAGGCAATGAAATGCGTCGTGTAATGGAGGGCAGAGAGTTTCCAGTCGGTTAGACTGATTTGAATCTCAGTTCTGCCATGTACAACATGGGTACCCTTGGTTAAGACCTTCCCCTCTCCAAGCCTCAGCTTCCTCAATTATAAAATGGGAATAATGGTACTTGCCTCCCTTCGCACCTGCCGTGAGAATTAATGAGTTGACCTGTGTAGAGTGCTTAGCACAGTGCTGGGCACATTCACAGTGGGGTGAATACTGGCCCCCAAAAGATGTGTCCCAAGTCCTAACCCTCCAGAACCTATCAACGTGACCTTGTTTGGAAAAAAAGGATCTTTGAAGATGTAATTAAGGCTCTCGAGATGAGATCATCTTGGATTAAGGGTGGGCTCTCAATCCAATGACAGGCATCCTTGCAGAGGAGAGAGGGAGATCCGAGACACAGAGAAGATGGAGTGACCAGAGGCAGAGACTGGAGTTATCCAACTGCAAGCCAAGGATGGCCAGCAGCCACCAGAAACTAGGACGGAGGCATGGAACAGATTCTCCCTCAGAGCCCCCAGAAGAAACCAACCGTGCCGACATCTCATTTATTTTTAGCACTGAATAATATTCTATTGTTTAGAGGTACTACAATTTATTTACCTATTCACCAACTCAAAGACATCTTGGTGGCTTCAAGTTCTGGCAACTGTGAAAAAAGCTGCTATGAACGTCATGAAGGTTTTTGTGTGGACACATTTTTCAACTCCTTTGGGTAAATACCATGGAACCCAATTGCTGGAATGTATGGTAAGAGAGTGTTTGGCTTTGTCAGAAACTGTCCTACTTTTGGGGACGCCTGGGTGGCTCAGTCGGTTAAGCGTCTGCCTTCGGCTCAGGTCATGATCCCAGGGTCCTGGGATCGAGTCCCACATCGGGCTCCTTGCTCAGCAAGGAGCCTGCTTCTCCCTCTGCCTGCCTCTGTCTCTCTCTCTCTGATAAATAAATAAAAATCTTAAAAAAAAAGAAAAGAAAAGAAACTGTCCTACTTTTGCATTCCCACCAGCACTGAATCAGAGTTCCTCCACATCCTCACCAGCATCTGGAGTTGGAATTGTGAATACTGGCCATTCTGACACCTATGTAGTAGTACCTCGCAGTTGTTAACTTGCATTTCTCTGATGACATATGACCTGGAGTGTCTTTCCATACGCTTATTTGCCATCTACAGATCCTTGGTGAGCCGTCTGTTAAGGTCTTTGGCCGATTTTTTAAATCAAGTTATTTGCCTTTTTTAGGATTGATATGGAAGAGTTCTTCGTATTTTCTACACCCCTTGTTAGGTATCCGCAAATATCCTCTCCCATTTGGCGAACTGTCTTCTCTCCCTCTCTTGACTGTGTCTTTTGAGACACATGTTTTAAATTCTGATGAAGCCCAATTTATCTATTTTTTTCTTTCGTTGCTTGTGATTTTGGCATCACATCTAAGAAGGCTTTGCCTGATCCAAGGTCACAAAAATTTACTCCTATCTTTTATTCTAAGAGATTTATAGTTTTAGCTCTCCCCTTTTTTAAAAAATAATCACAGAGCAGGGCTTCAGGCTTAAAGCTTTCAGCCAGCAATGGTAGCTAGTAAAAAAGAATGAACATATTATATCACCTTGATATGCATTTTTATCTTATATTTAAGGGAAAAAATTCCCAGTTTTTTCATATGCTGTAGAGTTATAAAATTTCCATTTAAGATAAGTAAAAAAGTGGATCAACATAAAGAAAAATACCAAGGAAACAGCAATACAGGAGGTATTATGGATACAGCATCCTGTTTGAGGTATAAAAATAAAGTTTGGAAAAGTGTTATCGTAATGCTTGAAAACACAAGTTCTGGATTCAACAGGCCTGAGATCTGAATCTCACTTTGTGACTCTAAGCAAGTGACCTCCCCTTTCTGAGCCTCAGGGTAACATACTAACTAACTTCACAGGGTGGTTGTGTGGATTTCATGATATAACACACACAGACCAGCACCCTTCAGGCATATAATCAGCACCCAGTAAAATGGTACCCTGGCCTCCATTTGATGCTTCCATTTTACTCCCATCACCTCAAATGCATTCCATCCACCCTACATAGAATTTATTTAATTTATTCTTCCTCTGCAAATTGATTTGTGATTTTACACCAATTGTCGTTAAGAAAAACTGCCAGTTTGGTAGTCAGACGGACCTGGGAACTAGGCCACTTCCTAGCTACGTGACCCTAGACAAGGGTTTGCCTCACCCTGGGCCTCAGTTCCCGATGATAATGAGCCTTACCTGTCACTCAAAGCTCGGTCTTTCGAGCGGTAGCATCAGCATTGCTGGGAATTTGCTAGAAATACAGCAACTGCACCTGCGCGCCCCGTCCTCGTCAGAAACTGAATTTTAACAGATCCCCAGGGGCTTGCCAAACACGTCAAAGTTTAAGAAGTTCTGACGTGAAGTGGGTTAGCAAAGCACGGATCTTCTGGTACACGTTCAACAAGGACTGACGATGGTGGTGATTATCACCCTGCCTCTACAAATGTATTAGCTCTGCGGCCTGAGGCAGGTTTAAGTTAAGTAACCCCTCTGTTTCCTCATCCCTAAAATGGGGGGAATAATAGAACTCACCTCAAAAGGTTGCTGCGAGGGTTAAATGAGCTACCCAATGTAAAACAATTAAAACAGCGCCCGGCACACGGGAAGGGCTCCATAAACGCTTGCAGTTATACCAACACCCATTGCTCTTAGTTGCTAATGTTATTTGCCTCCTGCCTGCTGCCGACAGAGGCCGCAGTTGCCGCGCTTTGGGCCTGCCAGGGAGGGAGAGATCCGCCGCGAAGAGCTCAAACGCAGACCGCCCCGGTCTCCCAATCCTTCCAGGTCAGGAGGGCCTGGGCTCCCCCCCACGCCCGCCCGGGAGCCCCGAGCCCACACTCACGCTCTCCAGCACGTCATAATTGGCTTTGATCTGCGCCTCGATCTCCTCCTTGCGCCGTATGAGCTCCTGGACGTCGCTGACTGTCACCGCGCCGGCCTGCGGGGAGTCTTCGCTCTGTCTAGTTTCGCCCTCCGACATCGCGGACCCCCGCGCGGGATCCTGGACACCAGGCTTCCCGGCTTCCTGGATGCGGACGCCCGAGGAGACTGCGGCTACGGCTTCGCCCGCGGGCCAAAATTCCTCGCCATCAGAGAGCCGGAGTTGAAGGGAGGGGCGTGGTTGGGGGGGCGGGGTCGCCGGAAGCCACACCCTGCTGGAACAAATCTTCCGGTGACTGGGGAAGGCCAGTATGGGGGAGGAATGGGTTCCAGGTCCCTCACCAGCCAGAAGAAGATGGTCTCTCCCTCGATGACTCATTTGCTTTCACATTCATTCAGCAGACATCTATTGAGTGCCTACCATATGTTTTTGCCAAAGCACTGTGCGGGGCGCTCCAGTTTAGCTCTTCACATCTACCCAGGCCTTGAGAGTTAACAAAACACATTCAGATTCCTTATCCCCCATTTTTTTTAAAAGATTTTGTTTTTTTTAATTATTATTAATATTATTTTCTAGAGAGAGAGTGTGCACGCGGGAGGTGGGGAGGGGCAGAGGGAGAGAGAGAATCCTAAGGATGCCCCACGCCCAGAACGGGGTGGGGGAGGGGGTTCCATCTCATGACCTTGACATCATGACCTGATCAGATATCAACAGTCAGACGCTCAAACGACTGAGCCACCCGACACTCTAAGATTTTATTATTTTTAAGTAATCTCCAAACCCAACGCGGGGCTGGAACTTGCAAGCCCCGAGATCAAGAGTCGCATGCTCCGCTGGCCAAGCCACCCAGGTGCCCCTCCTTATCCCCCATTTTACAGACCCTACAAGCTTAGGTTCAAGTCTGGTTCTTGCCACTTACTGCAAAGTACATGACCCTAGGTGAATTACTTCACTGCTCTGAACCTGTTTCCTCATCTATAAAATGTTTGGATATTGACAGCAATATATCTCAGAGCTGTCATTTTGCCAACAAATATTTATTGACTGTCTCCTCTAAGTCATACATTGTCCCAGGAGCTGGAAAGGTAAAGAATTGAATTACGACTCAGTGCCTCTTACATATTAAGGCCTCTATAAATTTTCGCAAACATAGTGATGATAATAATTTATCAAATACTTACAATGTGCCAGACACTGTTCTAAGTGCCTTACATGTATCAATTCAACAACCTTGTGAAACCAGGATTATTATTGTCCTCATTTGACAACTGAGAAAACCCTAGCAACTTGCCCAAACAGCAGAATAAGCTTCCAAATTTTCAACCCAGCTTCACCAAATGATGAAAGTTGACATCCAAACATGTGCCCCCTAATATTTTGCACTGAAAAGGACACACCATCACCTATGCAGTATTCAAACATGTATGTCCTAAATCTAATCATGGTAAATAAACACAAATCCAAAATAAAGAACACTCTTCAAAACAACTGGCTTGAACTCTTCAAAAAAGGTCAGTGTTGTGAAATACACATATACAAGCTCGGCAATTGCCTAGCTTAAATACTAAACAAACACAACAATTACATGCGATGTGTCATCCTTGACTGAATCCCAGCCCCCCCCCCAAAAAATCCAAAACAAACAAACAAACAAAAAACACCCTATAAAGGACATTTTTGGGACAATTGGAGGAAATTTTAATATGGAGAGTGTAGTATTGATGGAAATTTTCTGATTTTGATCCTTGTACTGTGGTTATATAAGACAGGATCCTTAGCAAATGCACCCTATGGTATTTAGGGGCAAGAAAGGCAACTTACTTTCAAATGGTTCAGAAAAAAGTACAAATATACTTACAGACAAGAGGATGATAAGGTAAATGTGATAAAGTGTAAATAATTGGTGATTCTGAGTGAAACATATATTAACATTCTTCTTACTATCTTTGCTACTTTTCTGTAAGTTTGAAATTCTTTCAAAATAAAAAGTTACAAAAGTAATCTTTACACAGAAAAAAAGTAGAATTGATTACATTTAGCCTCCTATATTTTGTTCAATTATCTTTTATTTTTTTAAATATTATTTATTTGAGAGAGCAAGAGAGCACAAGCATGGGGATGGACAGAGGGAGAAGGAGAAGCAGACTCCCTACTGAGCAGGGAGCCCAACGTGGGACATGATCCAAGGACCCTGAGATCATGACCTGAGCCGGATGCAGATGTTTAACCAACTGAGCCACCCAGGCACCCCTCAATTGTCTTTTTTAAATAAACTAACATTTCTAACATTGACACCCCCCCCCAAAAAAGAGAAGAGAGAGACATGGTAACTAAATACAGTGCACAATCCCTAATTAGATATTAGATTTTAAAAAAAATAAAAAGCAGCAGGGGCACCTGGCTGGCTCAGTTGGAGAACCATACGACTCCTGATCTTGGGGCCGTGAGGTCCAGCCCCACATTGGGTGTAGAGATTACTAAAAAAAATTTAAATTTTTTTAAATTTTTAAAAATCAATAACAGCAGCTTTAAAAGACATTATTGGGACAACCTGTTGAAATTTTTATTATGAACTTTATATTAGATTATAGTATTGTATCAATGTTACATTTCCTCAGTAAGATAATGGGATTGTAATTATATAAGACTCCTTATTCAGGGCGCCTGGGTGGCTCAGTCGTTGGGCGTCTGCCTTCGGCTCAGGTCATGATCCTGGAGTCCTGGGATCGAGTCCCGCGTCGGGCTCCCTGCTCGGCGGGGAGCCTGCTTCTCCCTCTCCCACTCCCCCTGCTTGTGTTCCCTCTCTCGCTGTGTCTGTCTCTGTCAAATAAATAAATAAAATCTTTGAAAAAAAAGACTCCTTATTCAAAGAGATGAATGCGAAAGTATTTAGAGATGCAGCGTTATAATTTCTGCAACCAACTTTCAAGGGGTTCAGGAAAAAAGCTATACATACACATGCCTAAATATAAAGGTGGTGGGTGTGGGGGGATGGAGAGGGAGAGAGATAGATTGAGGGAAACCAAAATGTAACAATAGGTAAGGGAAGGATATATGGATGTTTGCAGAAACTATCTTGCAATTCTTGAGGTTTGAAATTTTTCCAAATAAAAGAGGCAGAGTGAAGATTCCTACCCAAGCCTCTTGTGCCACACATCTGGGAAGATTTCCACTGATCTAAAACCAGAGCTACTGTTTAAGTCACTCTATGATGTTATTGTCAATATTGTCATTATTATAAACCTAGATCCAGGGGCGCCTGGGGGGCGCAGTCAGTGAAGCGTCTGCCTTCGGCTCCGGTCATGATCCCAGGGTCCTGGGATCGAGTCCTGCATCGGGCTCCCTGCTCAGCGGGGAGTCTGCTTCTCCCCCTTGTGCTCACTCTCTCTCTCTCCCTCTCTGACAAAGAAATAAATAAAATCTTAAAAAAAAAAATAAAAATAAACCTAGATCCAGCACCTGCTACTGCCTTCATAGCTCTGAAATCCATCCATTGCCTCCTCCACCACTCTCATCCCAACATCCCAACCTTTTTCCAGATTGCAGCAGCTTCTGACATGGTCTTAGCTTCCAGGTCACCCCATTCATCCATTCTCCACGTTAACAGCCAGAATAACCACCCCAAAGAGTAACATTGTCACTCTACTGCTTAAAAGGTTCCCATGGCTTTCCAGTGTGCTTCTCTTGGCTTCCATGACCCTTCTAATCCCTGCTTGCCTTTGGACACACACATGCACACATACACACCAGCACATAAACAAACTTATTTTCCAGTCACACGGAACTTCTAGCAGTTTCTGGCACATTTATTGCTCAGTCTCCCTTAGCACTGGGTCTTAGCACCTGCTCAACCCCCTTCTAGAATACCATCTCAGGGAACGCCTGGATGGGTCAGTCAGTGAAGTGTCCGCTCTTGATTTCGGCTCAGGTCACGATCTCAGGATCCTGGGACTGAACCCCAAGTCAGGCTCCACAATCAGCCCAGAGTCTGCTTCTCCCTCACCCTCTGCTCCTCCCCCCACTTGCACTCTCTCTCTCTCAAATAAATAAAATCTTTAAAAAATAAAAATTAGGTAAATAAGTAAATCTTAAACAAAACAAAACAAAAAACACCATATCAGGCCAGGCTGATTCCAGCTCCTCTTTCAAAGACCCAGCTCAAACATCACCTCTGCTGGAAATCTTTCTCTGACCCACCCCAAAGCTAGGGGTGCTGTTGTCGGCACTTCCCACCTGGTACTGTAAGTGCATGTTTACCTGTATGTCCCATGCGCTAAGGACTCTTAGAGTACATGGGCTAAAGCTTATCTTCAAATGTTTGTGAGTGTTTAATGAAGGATGCAAAGAGAACAGGCTGAAGGAACAATGTGCTCCTTCCCCATTCCTGTTGTTCTGGTTCATCTTATCTGCAGGGGCCATGGACAGCCAACAAAGCCTTTTTTCTGGAAAGTTGCCACAATCGAGGATGATCTAAATTGTTTGTCTCTTCCAAACATCCACATTGTGCTCATTTTTATTCCAGAACAAGGAGGCCAAGAGATAAGGAATTGGGAAATAGAGCCAGGAAGCTAGAGCTGCCCCAGGAAGACATGGTTGGTCATACTTCATACAGCCTGCCTTCAGGACTCAACAAATTTTTCTTATTTCCCCTCCCGCCCCTGGGAGTCAAACTGGCAAGTCCATTACCTTCAGTCCTGAAGCTATAAACCAAGGGGCTGGACTTCAGGGTCCAAATTGTGTGAATTGTGTTTGTATGAGTTGGTTCACTAGTTTTTATTTATTTATTTTTTTTAAAGTAGGCTCCAGGGGCACCTAGGTGGCTCAGTCGGTTGGTCATCTGACTCTTGATTTTGGCTCAGGTCATGATCTTGGGGTCGTGGGATCAGGCTCTGAGTCAAGCTATGCACTCAGTGGGGAGTCTGCTTGAGATTCTCTCCCTCTCCCTCTGCCCCTCCCCCCACTTGCTCGCTCGCTCTCGCTCTCTCTCTAAAATAAATAAATAAATCTTTTTTATTAAAAAAAATAATAAAGTAGGCTCCACATCTACCATGGGGCTTGAACTCATGACCCTGAGATCAAGAGTCACGTGCTCTTCTTTTTTTTTTTTTTAAAGATTTTATTTATTTGAGAGAGAGAATGAGAGATAGAGAGCACATGAGAGGGAAGAGGGTCAGAGGGAGAAGCAGACTCCCTGCTGAGCAGG